TATATATTATATATATACATATATATATATATACATATATATATAAATATATATCTTCAAATTATATATATATATATATATATAGACATAGATAGATAGATATATATATATATATATATATATATATAGATAATATGAATGCTCTGTCTCTCAAAAATATATGATCACTATACATGATGAACTCATAGGAGAAGAATGAATATAGAATACATCTGAACGGACTACAGTCCGAAGAACTTTAGATACATTCTCAATTTGGAGCGGACCTATAGAGCCCCTGCAAGAGTGTGACTAAATTCGAAATTTTGAAAGCTTGTACTCTATGTATCAGTTCTTGAATATACTTATATATAAAAATATATATATATATACTCCTTTGTGTTTGTGTCATAGCGTTGTTGGGCTGGGTTCAGGCCCCTAGAGAAGTAGAGAACGTCGCTACTGACTCCGACTATGACTTGAAATAAACATCCTTCTATGCCTTAGTCACTAGCATCATCAACGGCTATACAACACAATGGCTCACGCAGTATCTCATTTCTAAATTTCTCATTCACAATAGAGAAGGTCTAATTGGGGCTTGAGCAAGTCGCACACAAGAGCGACATAACACAGAAGTGAACAGGCCATATAGCTAATAAATTACAAAAACTGGGTTGCTATGGTAATTATATCCTTTTGAAGAAAAGCGCGGCATAGTCTCAGAAAATGAATGTCTCAAAAGTCCGGAGAGTAAAATAGCGGCTCACAGTCAAATCCGTCACTGCCCCACAACATTTTGTATTTGATATCCAGATAGGTTGGTATTGATAAGCAAAGTGTTAGCAGCGGACACCATCGCATGGCGACAATGTATGACAAATGGTGGATCTAATACAATTGAGAGCTGTAGTGATCACATGTATCGCAGTAGGATGGGCACACTGGTCTCTGGAGGCCCATCTGCCAACACCGCATCTTGAAGCTTATCATGACTTATATGTCAATGGGGCACACACAGGGAACGAAACGCTATGTATTGCACCAGGGTCGAATTGGGCCAAATTGAGAGATAGTACACGAAAAGAGACAAGAGATTATTTTTTTCCCGGCGATATACCACAGCTACACTTTACGATGCAAGTGAATGGTACGCACGGTCTTGTCGATAAGCAACCAAATCAAGAAGGAGGTCAAAGCAGCACATTTGAAACATCCTTTATACCGCTGGAGCTTACTGGGAGTAGTAGATTAAGGTACGTAGCATATAAATAACGACGAAATCAACTTTGTTCCTGCATGAAACATTAGTACAGAGTGTCTAGACGAACTGTGGCCGATAGTATATTTCGTAACACACTGATGCACGCCATGCATCACCGCGGAATGTAGTGCCAAATTGAGGAAAAGGGCATGAAAAACCCTTTGTAGCATGGCTGTACTGTTATTTGTACTGCTGTTGAGATATTTGTGAGTAAAATTCGAATAGCTTTACCGATGAGTAGGCTTGAACCCCTGAGAAGTCTGCTAAAAATGTGGTGTCAATTTGGGGAATCGTAAGGCAGCATCAACGAACGTAGCTGTTTAGTGCCATACTATCGCTAATGTACGAGTATGAATAACTCCTATACGCGATTAACAACATCTGGTGTCTGTGGTTGTATTAGTTACAAAGGAAAAACAAACAAATCTTTTGGTAGATTAGTGTGCAATTATTCGAGCGTGAGTTGAATGCAACTGACATCAGTCTACATAGAAGGGACAACATAGTCCCTGAAAAGTGCAATATCGAAGGACAAAGTTATGTTTTGCGCAAATGATATGCCGCTTGGTAGCAGTACTCAAGAGTCATTGTGGCTTGATCATGCCGCCTTATGTACAACTCGATATCCACTCGAAAACTTTCAAGATAGGAACATTTGATCTAGGCCGCAGCGTTTTGTAGAAGGGTTATTTACAAACATCTTCAGCTCAATGTTCTGTTACCGGCCTACGAAACACCATAGTTGAGTTCTATCGCATTTATTTGATTTATTTTCAATGTTATACCGTGTTTCACTATATAACGATTGTTTGAAACACAAAATATTATGAAAATTGTTCTGCTAGTATCTCACTGATGAATGTCTAATCTTATGATTCTCTTTATCTGACAGATACAACGCCTTGGATTCGGTCTTCGCATATCATCTAGACTGTGTACTGGGGTTGGGCAAAGTACTCCCAGCAATAGGTGCGTACAGTTTTCTACCGAATGTACAATTCGGTTTTCCTAGCTTAGGTTGATTATTTTCAGGCCTAAGATTGTATAAAAATCGCAGTGACCCTGTCAGAAATTTTGCTACCGAGAGCCGCAAAAGTATCCTAGAGGTATGCGCATGGATGCCAAGATGCCAACGGCATTTCTTGAATTTGTATTTCTTAATCCAGGGGTGGAAATCAGCTCACGAGTGCAACTAAAGGACAAGCTTCGCCTACCGATGTCTCAGAAATTCGCCGAGTACGGTTTCTCGTTTGACGAATACCATCAACAGATTTTTGGAACAATGCAACAACAACTAAGGTAATCTTCAATGTAAACAATGTTCCTTATTTTGCTTCAACTATGCTATTTGAAAATTTATCCTTCTCCTACTTAGTACGTCTGACTCGCATAAGGTTTGCTTTGAAGTACTGACGACTAGTTCCCAGTTCAAAATTGATGGCAATAAAAATCTCACAAGCTAAGATAAGGTATCTGATTTGTCTGTTGCTAACGAAGAGTAGCACAGAGGGGAAGACACAGTATTTTGGCGAGAGCTGGCTGTCGCGCGTGACGCGCGTAACGTGCAGAAAACTGTGTGAGCTAATTGGAGGGCCTATCTACTGCATGGACTCGGGTGTGCAGAGAGCCTTGAATGAATTGTAAGATCAGAATATATGATGTATCGTCAGCGCATTGTCGCATTTCTTGTACTTGCACAGCAGTTAGTATCGACCTCGACGGGTTATGCACACTCTGTCTCAATTCTTCCGTACACTCGCAGGGAGGCTTTCCACTTCATCTTGGGAAGCGTTGATTCTTCCTTCACCGTGGCGGAAATGACTGACCAAAAGACATCACAGAAAGCAAGAATGCTACTCCCGAACCCTGTCTATCGAATGTTGGCAACCTACTATTCACCCGACGATCCCTTCTTATTGCGACAGTCGAAACCTGGGTTAGTTGACAAACCTTTATGCCTACACTCCCCTCATTTCATACGTGTAGCTACAAACGGAGTATTTACCGCGAGAATAGGAGTGTGGCCTTTCTTCAGCGAGTTTATACTCATTACCTTATTTCAATACCATTCTGTAGGTGTCAGCATAGTATACGACTATATGAACGCCTCCTCCAAGCGTCAGTGAACTTTGGGCCATCGAAAGACAGTAAGAGGACGCTGGCATACCGAATGGGAATGTGAGTAATCATTTTTTAAGGGGATGAGTTCTCGATATCTTTCAAATCTGATCAATGACCATTTTCGATAGTTTATATACAAGTTGACGCTGTTATTTACTTGTCTATCGCCTTGAACAGGGCGATCCTCGAAGACCCGCTGATGCGGAAGTACTGGTATCGTATGCTACAGTCGCCTAGAGTGATGAGGCGGATGGGACTACGGAGGAGTACTTATGTTGCTCACATTGAAAAATGCGTGGAGAATTTCGGAAAGGAACATGTATTTTTTCGTTGAGCCACAGGGCCAGCTAACATTTGCAATACGGTTAAGTGGTGTGGAGCGCACCGATACAACGTCAGAAGTTAATTTTACCTCTCTAGTATGATTTTAAACTCCATCTGCACCCAGCATAACTACGATTAATCACCCAAGACTAGTATCGACCATTCCAGTATGAATCAAGCTAAGGGTGTATCTCAAAGGAGTATTTGAGCTTGATGAAGCCGCAAGCAGCTGGGTAGTTGGTTGTTAAAACTTCCACGTCGCTTCTCGAGCGAGGAATTAGAGTTCGATTTGGAAATATCAATCGTTGATCTAATTGTTATGAAGGTAGGCACACATTAAACCAGGCAATAAGGAATAGCAATTAACACAATTTTATATCATGGCAAGCTTCTGCAGTACTGTATCTCTTTATTGGCATCTGAGCCGACTAAATAGTGTTATTGGTACGCTGGTAATGGCGTATCTAGGTTTTATTGGCTTAAAGCCTTAACTTGTTGATAGCAGCTCGGCTGAAGTCAGTTCTCAACTGCAACGCCTTTCGCACCTCTGACGGTGTGATTCTCCAAGTCACGAGACCAGCCCCAGAGCCCCAGTAGTCCATCAAATCCGCCACCTGACAACATGGGCGAAGGATTTTGTAAGATTAAAGTATTCTATTGTGTTTGTGTATATGTAATTTGCGCGTATAGAAATTTCAAAAGATTTGCAATCCAAAAGGGATCTTTTGTAAAGGCAACGGTAAGGATCATAGTAATCGAATGCAAGAAAGGCCGACGTACCTTCTCAAAGCATAGGATAGTAGCTATTTGTGTTAATCGTGCGAACTTCTCACGCACAGTTCCATCCGTCATGTTCGCTAGGTACTGTATTAATGTTCGCAAATCCTTGTCGAATTGGATACCCCCGTTCTACGTGTATATAGGAAATATGATTAGTAGGAGTAGATGTGATTCGGTTGCAAAATTCTTCTCGCTTCAATAGGTAGTCCTAAATTATATAACAAAATAAAATTATATAAAGTAGACACTCCAAAATTAAGAAATCCTACTTGATTGAAGCTTTTAGATAAAACGGCCGCCTCCAACTGTACGGCAAGATTCTGTATGAGCAAATTCATGAGTGTCACAAAGTTCGTAGATGTCAGATGCGGCTTGAAAGCATTTATAACTTCATCTAGATCCCGGATTAAGCCCTGGACGAAAGGATCATTGACTTCGTAGAAGTTCAAATCTTGCAGGCTGATGACGTAACTGTATGAATTAGAAATCGAATACAACGTAAAAACCTGTTCGCAGTGAAAAATGTAACTTTTATGGTATTGAATGACGATGTACTCAAGCATGCTTGAGTGGAAGAGGCAATGTAAAAATGAAGTCAGATTGAAGAAAACACTTACTCGACACTCTGCATAGCTTCGCAAGCCGATATGAGTACTGGGAAGACAGTCTTGGAGAACATTTTCTTCCACGCTTCCTGTGGGACAAGGGTTGAAGAGTGTACCATCAATATCGACACACTACATACATTATAAAGAATAATATGGCTGCTTATATAACACAGAAGTGATAGTGTACATACCGACAGCACACGGTTATAACACTTTTGTATGATCAGCATGTCGTCGAGGCAGGCCAAACCTTTTTGCTTGTCTTTCTCTGAGTGCGAAGATGCGAACTGTGCGAACTGGGTTTTAAGCCCACCCTGTAGCTTCAAAAGGTATTGCCCACTCGTTTCGACATTGTTCAGGTGGACTAGGTACTGCGAGATTTGGTTCACGGCGGATGTGTCCATTTTGCGTTGCACCTGTAATGATGGGAACGAGTAGTGCACTGAGGGGCCACCGCTAAAGACCATGCGCAGAACATTTAAGCGGGATAAAAAAATGTAGTTCAGGACTCTCACGTTTAAGTTGCACGGTGAAACAACGACTGTCATATGAACTAATAAAATTATCACTTCGCTCTTCAGATATCAAGAGCAAGTAGTACCTTTTCCAAGACATTTTTGAAATCGCCTGTACTGAAGAACTGCGACATGGTATCTCCAACACCCGTCGTCAAATTACGCTGCAGAACAGCTGTGAAGTCATTCTCAAGAACGGAGTTGGCATTGTTGAGCACGGCACAGATACACCCGATCATATGAGTTTGCAATGCCCTGTTGCAACATTTCTGCACAACAAAGAACACGTCATCAATCATCGTGGAGGTCATCTGGCCAAGATCATGTGTGTCCAGCTTCACCGCTTTGTGGACGCAGGACATCAGGAAACACTCCTCAATCAGAATATATTGTCCCATAATCTCCTGCAGAAAGATATAAGGAATCAGAGATTAGGTGGATGTATCAAGTAGACAAGCTTTTTGTTGCAGGTGTGCGTCAGCCTGCTGATAGATTTGACGCAACCTTGCGATGAATAACTGATATGTAAAAGACTTGAATCGTATGTCCAAAAGCAAATTAGGTGGAAAACGCTACATGCTGTTTGATTTTATACGAATAGTCGTGCATGTCGAAGTATGAAGGAAAAACCACACCTGTACTCTGCGGTTCAATCCAGTTTCCTTCCCAGACAGGAGCTCTAAGCTGACACCTGCAAGGAAAGCCGCACGCTGCTCTTTCTCCCTCTTTATATGTTCGCGCCGTGTTTCCTCGTCTACAGAGTAAAAAGGACTTATAGTTATGTACGAATTGGGAGTAAAAAAACATGTACAAATAGTCTTCGGAAGAGCAGGATAAGTCATCTAGGTGTTGAGTACATTTAAAAAATCATGAAATTATACACGAATGTATAGGCTACACCCTGCCACATCTCTGGAGTAACAAACTCCGGCAAAACCTTACATAGTGTTGATAGTCTTTGATGATTTTCGACCAACACATCAATTATTACCAGGATGCATTTGTATGCTGGGTGATCGCTTCAGAGGGCTTGCTTTGCTCAGTTTCCCGCCGGTAGACACTATCATCTCCGCGTTGGCTGCTGGTGGGGTAGTGCTGCGACTACGCGACGACCCTCCCTCGGTGGTTTCTGATTTGGAAATGTCTAACTCTTCCTTCGTTGGACTGGATAGGCAATGATGTTCTGCCTATAAATGGTAGTAAAAAAGACAAGGTGTGTGCGATTCGTCCTCACAATTAGTCGACGTCACCGTCAATTGCGACGGCCATAAATAAGTACACCGCATACTAGAAGATATAGTGACTTGGTACAGCAATGAACGAAGGAGTCTCGACAACAGCTGCATATATGGTCTACGTACAGACATGCCCAAAACATTTCTGTGCGCATAAGAAACAAATAACATACCTCGGCACGGGTGCGCATGAAGCGCTCAAATACTCCCGAATGTCCACCGATTGCCGACAGTTCCCACAGCACACCCTCGATATCGCGTGGGTCCGGACCTGGTGTCGTATTGGATGTAGAGCTACAGATAGCAACGATGTATACTAATCATCAGTAATATTTGAAGAGCAACACAGGGCTAAAAGTGAGTATCAAGTTGAATAGCATGTGCAAGTGTTTGCTTGACGGGTAAAATAGGTGGAGAAAATACCTTGCAACGACCAGTATGTCCCTGTGCGTCGAGTATCTCGCCTGATTGATATCGGCCACAAGTTTGTGGACGAGACGTTTGGTTAAGAACGTGTCGATTATCGCACTAGATTGTCGATCGCATTCCCTCATCAAAGCCTGATATAGAAAATACAGGAAGTGATTGATAATTGGTACACGAGACTTGTCGTGCTCCCGAATAAGAGGACATGTTACGGGTGCAAATTCTACACGTACACCAAGGAAAAGCAGAGTACCATTCAGACAAATAACAACCCTTTACAATCTGTTACCAAGCTGGTTGTCGATGCCTTACAGTTCTATATGTTTGAACCAGGTCATGGCACAACGCACACACTGACAAAAGAAAACTTCGCCTCCCTGCACTTTATAATAAGCGGTCTGGAGTACCTGAATCAGCGGCAACACACGGCCAGGCCCGTAGTGTGTCTCGACAACGGGTGTCTGGTTTTCTACTTCACCGGCTATGTCCTGAAACAACAGCTGTAGTGTATTTACCAGTTGAATCTTTTGGTCGTCGCCAGTAGCTTCTGCAGAAGAGCGACAAAAGTGACCGCAATGCAGTAGATGAAAAAGATTATCACCAGAGAAATTCATCGCAATTGGTTTGCAGCAAGTCATAAGCAATAAATACACGTCACAAAAGAACTGGTGTCACTTCTTAGCAGTGGCAGTTATACTGGGTACTGAGCAGGTGTCGTTACGTTATGTGCGAGCTGGGCAAGAAGAGGGCGCATGTAGAGGTAATTGCAACTTTTGCGATATGAGAAAACAAGGTCAGTTCAAGGCTTCTGCTTACTATTGTTCCTCTGTCGCTGAACACTCTTGTGACATACCTCCTTCCAGAATAGCGGCCTTCAAACGTTGTTGAGCCCTGAGTGCAACTTGGGTACACACATGTAAGGAGTACTTTCTCATACCCTCCATTTCGAGACCGATCAAAGGGAAGAGCTTGAAGTACCTATTGATGCTATTCATATCGTTATCACGGACGGCATCATCCAATCCTCTATTGATTCGCTGGTGTAGTTCGTCGACACATTCTTGTATCTTCTCGGATGCTGGTTTTCCTTCTGTCATGCCGAGACTAAGGTGGGCAAACGACTGATTAATGACACAAGAAAAAAAAAAAGTAGAAACATTCAGAATGCTATATTCGTGAATATAACGGGTCCGCCGTGAAAGTCTCACAGAATTCCACAAACATGCGTGGGAACAGAGCTATGATGCCATTTCCTACAGTTATCATACCTTGCTGGATGAGTTTTCGTATTTAGGGTTGTGGAATAAATACTGCAAATATCCTTTTACAGAACTAGATGTCTGTTCACAACACCGAAGGGTGTAAAAAAACAGCGCCTCCAAAGTCTCAATACTTTTTCTGAAGAATGACTAAACGATAAGCTTTGAACTTACGTTTTCAGCTCCACTGCAACGAGTGCCGGATCGAATGACAGATAACGATGTACATGTACAGCGGCAACAGCGTAGTCGTTTTGGCCCATTGCAGCTAGCACACCCTCGACACATTCCTGGGTTGTTGTAATATAATGAATACGCGTGTGAGGATTGCCGAAAGTGATGATAAACACACTGGAAAGAGCTTAGTCGCGAGAATTATTTGACTTCAACCTAAGTGTCGCACCAGATAACTTTACAATGTACGCGCACGTGTCCAAGCAACCCGCTTCATAGGTCGACAAGCCCAGAGATTTCAGTCACACGGGTACGATACCTTCAGATCCATTATATCTCGGACCTTGGACAGAGTTACTAGAACATTTGTCTGAGCTAGATCGAGCTCTCGGACCTTTCCGCTGACACTTTCTGCCAATTCGCACGTGTGGCTCACCGTGGATGCTATATGGTCGATGAGTCAAATAAAATAATGTATATATGAAAGTTAGAAACACTTTGCGCGATTGGCGAAGACAGATACACTATAATCATAGTTCATGTGAGTATAACAAAGAAAATCAATATTGTTCTGTATGCTTTCGCTGGGTGCGTAGATTGTAGATTCTTCGCAATCGTTCACTACAAACATAGTTTGAAGTTCACAGTGACAGCTCAAAGTTCTAACGAAGATGCACGCGTCCATCGATGTAATATAACTCAAATGTGCATTCTCGCTACCAATTTTCGGTGCGCATACGGATGCACGAGGCGGTGTATGAAGTCAGTGCATGTACTAACGACTTGTTCATGCTACGTGTAAGTGTGTGCGAAGTTCCAGCTGCGCACTTGCATCGGAGCTGTCAGAGTCCCCTGCATGACTTAAATGTGAAGATACGTGTCTACGGTTGTATGTGTGTGGGTGCACACACTTTCGCTCCATTTAGCATCAATTAACTATGCCAACACCAGTCTACTATACTATTTTGGCTATAGCAGAGGTTGTAAGGTATGAAAACCCTCACAGGAGTACCTCTCTTTCCCCCCTCCTCCACCTTAGCGTGAAAATCCTATTGACTAATAATAGCGGCTTATAGTCCGACTTGCCCGTCATAGCGCTAGAAAACACCCAGTATCATAACAACAGGCGGGTTCAAACGCTGGCAGATAAAAAACTATCGCTATTACTACTAAATAAGGCTGCGATGAAATGATAGTGTAGTGATAACGTGATCAGAACGATCTTGCAGCATCGTGTGAGTTGTTAATAGCTGAATTTGGTGTGGCAGCCGTATGCATCATTTCACAAGACTGATTTGTCGAGGTGTAAGCTTATGACATACCCAGTAGCGCCCATTGTACACTATATACTACTAATGTCTGAGCATTCCAATCTTAATACAATTTCCTGGACGCGGGTAGAGTTTAACTACTCGTTTCGCAGTCGATGCTTTAAGTCACAAAGCAATCGCCTACAACACATAGATCATCACATAGATCATCAGGTCAAAAACGATAATTGTTCATCGCCAGGGCACACAAAACAAAAACACAGCTAGCCCAATCGTGATTCGCGCTCTGAACCGAATGTTGATGATGGTAAAGAGTGTCCTACTCCAGCTTGCAGTGACTGCCTGTCATCTACGACAAACTAAGGTATGTGTGGAATATACAGATATACAGTGCATACTCAATGCCCAAGTCGACATACTAAGAGATTCTAATGCCTGTACATGTCTACATTATGCATATTACATATACATAGCTCTACATACATTGCAAGCACAGCCGTCATCTTACAACATTTCAATTCACAAGATGACATGCGCTTCGACCTACTTACCAAGATACTGAGTGCCGGTATTCAGCTTATTCAGCTTGGGTTGCAAACGCAGCAACGAATTCATCTGGTCGTCCAAGGCCTCAGTACGATCCAGCAATAAATCCAATTCATGGTCCACGTGTTGCTCATGCTGATTGAGTTGCCTCAGCAAGTCGCCTATCTGCGACGGGTCTGTCAGCGACTGGATTTCTTGCAGGGTGAGTATGGGTTTGACTTCTGATGTAGGCAACGTATTTGTACGTACAGTCCCCTCTGCTGTATTCGGTACTGACTTACCATCTTCTTGAGTGGTAGTTAGTAACACGGGCATAGTGGCACGTTGTTATGTGGTGACCTTCAATCTATATGCAAGCAAGAGTGGGCGTATACGCGTTCTGTATAACTTCTTTATCGCAAGTGTGTGCAGACCATAGCTACACAATTTTGCAATAGTTCTCACTTCTCTTTGCTATGGATAGCGATGATCGTACACAGTGTGTATAAGCAACCACAACTATCATACGAACACAACAGATGGCTGACTTCGGTCTATCGTGTGTAAGCCTTCCCTCTACACACTTAACTATTTATGCCAAGTATCAACGAGAGCGATCGAAACTTCAACTTTTTATTTATTTATTTCGGTTTATACTTTCATTCAGTTGGGTTGTGCGAGTTTGGGTTAGGTTGCGAAGGGACTGGAGGAGCAGATAAACGTACAATTATTACTGCGCTTGCGTTTAACGTTTACTCCATGGAAGAAATACACAGCGCCACAAAGAGAACTAAGTATTTATAGAGAATTTGGGGTTATGTATACTTAAGGGTATCAAGCTAATAACAAGCCTTCTCCAGTAGAGCTGACCTATATACTTGCTACATATGCCATTACCTATCACTAGAGTATTTGACCGCATAACAATGTTATAACAATCTAGGCATTACTATCAATAACTAGGGCGCTGCGTTTGGTCAATACCTCTTTTGGCGAACTTTTGACAAACAGGATGGGTGCGCCCGGTTCGCCTCGCCAAGCGCTGAGGAAATTCGTTGACTCGGTTGTACTACCAAATGAAGGCTTCTACGAGACACATGACCTATCTCATCCTTGGAATCGGTATGTCTTCTGGAATGGTTGCATTGTTGCTTATTGTTCAGGGATACACGAAACGTCTTAGAATAGCTCAAAGCACCTGTCGGGGTCTGAGTGCCTCTCTGCGGGCGAGTGCAATTTTTGGCAGTTATTGTCAATGATGTACGACATAGTTTGCTTAGGCGTTGATCGGAATTGATATACATACTAGACAACTTTTAAATTGAGAACATCATACGCTATGGAAACACGCAAATGATTTTTCGTTCATGCGTGATGGCTGTATACACAATATTTGTGCATTCATTCTGGTTCTGTTGGCGGCACTGCGAAATAGAATACCACCAGTTTGTGTCTGTATAATTATACGTGAAATCCCGACCATTATATACATGATTCTTATATATATATATATATATATA